GGGAAGGAAGGAGTGAAGCCACTACGATGGCGGGGGATGGGGAGAGAGAGAATAGGGGGAATGACAGTAAAATATGGGGCGAAACGAAAAACGAAAGAAAAAAAACCGTTTTATGTACATGATGGTTTTCTTTTTTATGTCTCCCTCTCTCTCTCCCTGTGTGTGTGTGTGTGTGTGTTCTTCACTTGCGCACGCAGGCACGAATGTTTTGTTTGAATTTCTTTATGGATCCTTTTTGTGTGTGTTTTTTTTTTTTTTTACTGCCTTTACTCTTTGATGATTATTTTCCGCCTTTTTGTTTTTTTGTTTGTTTTTGTTTGTTTTTGCCTCATGCATACATGTATTTATTTATATTTATATTTGGTTTTTGTTGTTGTTATTCCTGGGGGAGTGTTCACCGCTTTGCCCCTTTTTTTCCCCCCCCGCCCCGCCGCCGCCCCCTCCCCCTCCACTTCCCATCCACAAAAAGAAGAAAAAAAAAAAAGAGAGGGCAGTGTTGATGTCGTTTGCCTCCCCGCCCATCCAACAACCTGCCACGTCACTTATCTTCTTTTTTGTTTTGTTTTTCCTTTATGTGTGCGGTGTTTATAGCTACGGCCTGTGCATATATCATACATGAGTGAGGAGCGGCTGGATTCTCTGTTCGACACGGCGTTAGAGGCCGTTGCGGAGCTGGAACGTCGTCGTTCGCTGCTCCACAGCTTGCTCCAGGCAGCGCACTTTCTGTACAGTGATGTTCAGTGGGAGATGGACCGTGCGGGACTTGTCCTCGGCTTGGCGGCCGTCCCGGCGCTTGAGGGTGCAGTGTGTCCACAGCTAGGCGTGGCGTGGCGTGCCACATCGACGGAGGAGATGGACAAGGAAGGGGGAGAAGGGAGCCACGACCGTTATGAGTTGTCCGTGGTGAAAATGGCAGCCGGTGAGGGAAAAGATCCGGCGCGTTGGTTCGCGTCCGTCCCCTCGAAGCGGCTGCGTGCCTGTCAACAGCAATTTCGTGAGGTGCTGAACGCATGCGTGCAGGTCGTGCAGGCGCAGGAGAGAGCACTGGCAGCGGCAGAAAACTATCGCGTGGCGGCGCTGTAGAATAATTGATGCGAATGAAATAATTTTGCCATAAGCTTCTCCCTGCATACAAAATTATTTCCTTACTTGTTGATTTTGTTGTTGATGATGATGATGGTTTCTGCCCTGGAGGGACGTGTTTTTGCACGGCAGGCAAGTGGACGGTGTGTTATTTGCGGTGGCCTTCGATGGGGGATCAACGAACGAAGGTCAACAGGAATGGAAAGAAAATGGATGCAAATTAAAAACCCCTTTTTTTCCTCCTTCCCTCTCCCTCTCCCTCTCTCTCTCACTTCCTCTCATATTCTTTTAATTTGTTTTATTTCCTCGTGGGACGTTGTATGTGGATGTTTGGGCTTTGTTGCCGTGCCTTTTCGCCGTATTTTGTCTCCTGTGTCGTTTACTTTTCTCTTTCACGCTGCACACGTGTCCATGTCGGAAAGCCCCGGCGACTGTGTGTAGAAGGGGGTGCGTGTGAGTCTTTGAAATGGGCAAAGCGGGCGGCTTCTTTAAGAGACTGAAAGCCAAACAGAAGCGCGGCGCCTCAAGAAGGCGTCGCGGCACGAAAGGCGCCTCAAAAGAGGAGAGAAGAGTCAAACACAACGAACGTGTTGACTATTATGCCGCCAAGCGGGAGGCGGAGGCGCTCGCAGCCATCAGCAGCAGCAGCAGTGATGACGACAATGACGCGGTCTTGAGTGACTCAGAGATGGAGGCGCGCAGACAGGAGCACGCATTACTGCGACTAAGACGCCTAATCGGTGTTGCTGGCGGCTCGAAACGCAGTCGCATGGATGATAGCACAAACAAGCCAAATGGTAACGGCCATAACAGTCGCAAGTATCAGGACGACAAGTGTACAGACGCAACGGAGATGGCAGAGCAGCTGAGTGAGGATGATGATTGGAAGGCGTATCTTTCGGAGGAGGATGAGGAGGAACAAGAAGAAGAAGAGGATGAGACGGATGGTGACGAGGAAATGTCGCTGGATGAAATGCCTGGTGATGATGGCGATGACGATGAATATGAGCCGGAGGAGGAGGAAGAAGAGGAAGGGGAGGATGCTGAGAAGGAGGACGAGTACGAGGACGATGAGAGTGTTGTAGACTACAGCGATGATGATGATGATGTCGAGAAGGAAGGGGGAAAACAACGGCAGCAGCGGATGGAAGAAGCGGTGCAGCTCCTGCCGCAATTCCGTCCCGGCACGACGGGCGTGACGGCCCTGCGGCATGTCGTGACCGCCAACGACCCGTGGTTTGTGAAGTACCACCAGGACAAGCACGGCGGTATCGACAAGACGCCCATGCAGTCACGAGAGGAGCACTGGCGTCAACAGCAGGCGGCAGGTGACGGAAAAATGGAGGATGTTAGTCGTGTCGCCAACATCGCTGTGGCCGCCTCTGCCCATGCCGTGCGTCACTTTCTTCACCCGCCGTTTGTTTTTGGCAAAAAACAGCAGCAGAAGCCGCCGTACATGCATGAGACGCTGTGGGCAAAGTGGCTGGAGTACTGCGCCGCGGAGTCTAGAAATCCGATGACGGCGGAGGAGCGTGGTCTGCTGGATCTGCTGCAGGGGTACCCGGATGTCATGGACTGCTGTCGTTCGTGGGAAAATGCGGATGCACGGCGTGAGATCTTCATTCTTCACGCACTCAACCACTGGTTTAAGGCACGGTCTGTGGTGTTAGCGCATGATGCCCTTCTGCAAGAGCGTAGGAAGAATAAAAAAGGGAGGCAGAAGAAGCGGAAGATTCAGAGCAGCAAGAAAAATCGAGGGGAAAAGGAACAGGAGGAGGGGGATGACGATGCTGATGTCGACCAAGACGAAGAGGAATATGAATTTCGTGATCGCGGGTTTGGCAAAACGAGGGTCCTTATCATGCTGCCCATGCGTAACATTGCCCATCGCTACGTGACAACGCTCGTGAAGCTGCTGCGTGCGACGCCTGATGAATGTGCAAAGTTGTCCACATTCAATGAAGACTTCACGGAGCTGGCGGAGGCGGTGGATCCCACCTTCAAACGCCGTCCACGAGATTATCAGCGGCAGTTTGCTGGGAACATTGATGACTCGTTTTGTGTCGGTGTCCGGTTAGAGCCGAGCCGTGTGCGGGTCTACGCCCATCCACTGAACAGCGATCTCATCATCTGCTCGCCGCTCGGCCTTCGGCGTCGCCTGGAGCGCAGCGGTGATGTGTTGGTGTCGCTTGCCTCCATTGAAGTGTGCATCGTGGATGAGGCACACGTGTTGCTTATGCAGAACTGGCAGCACATGACAGAGGTGCTGCGGCTACTCAACAAGCGGCCGAAAGACACAACACACGGACTGTCCGATCTGCGCCGTGTGTACGCATGGGCGCTTGCGGGGCACAGTGGCCGCCATCGCCAGACAATTATGTCCACAAACTTGACGAACGCAACCCTCCTTGCGACCTTTCGCTCGTGTGTGAACAACTCCGGCCGTGTGTTGTTACAGCACCGCGAGGAGGCCGGGGTGTTGGCACAAGTGATGGTGCCTGTGCGGCAGCACTTTCTGCGCTTCGATCCGGGAACCTCGCTGGAGAAGTGCGACGACACCCGCTTTGACTTCTTCACACGTGAAGTGTACGCGAAGAAAATCAGCCCACTTGTGGAGCGGGATGTACGCACGATTATTTTTGTGCCTTCTTACTTTGACTTTGTGCGGCTGCGGAATTACATGATCCGAGAGCACCGCGACTCCTTCGCCGCCATATGTGAGTACACTTCACTGCAGCACCAGCGCAAGGCATTGGGGCGATTTACGGATCTCGAGCGGCCGCTGCTGCTTGTGACGGAGCGCTTCTACTTCTTTAAGCGCTACTTTGTGAAGCTGGCGGAGGTGATGGTGTTCTACAGCCCGCCCCTCTTCCCGGCATTCTACACATCCCTCGTCGGCCGCCTTGTCGCCACATCTCCAAACGCATTTGCGCTGACGCTGTTCTGTCGATTTGACACGCACGAACTTCACAGGATCATTGGCACTCGACGGACGCGGCAGCTGCTCGAGCGGGAGGCAGACGCCTTTTCTTTTGTGACGAATTAAGTAGCCATCACGTGTGGGAGGAAAAACAACAGGAGGGGAAGTCACACACACAACAAAGAAAGAAAGTATATAAATAAATATAAATATAACGAGGAAAATGAAAGAATTTCAAAAGAAGAAAAAGAAAAGAAAAGAAAAGAAAAAAGAAAACGTTTAAAGAGGAGACCAAAATTATGTATGCACACAAGTGGAATAAAAGAAGGGTGAGAGATGAATGGCCATTTTGGTTTTTGCATATTATGATACATATGAGAGGAAACAAACATATCTGTGTGTGTGTGTGTGTGTGTGTTTGCTTCTTATATGGAATGGATTTGTGTGTGTAAACAAGACAAGAGGAAAAAAGAAAAAAAAGGGACACTTATGTGTGCATGCGTAGATTGGTATCCGTTGAACACTCCCACTCATACTCTCTTCTTGGATACACATACCCATGTGTGTGTATTATTATGTACTTTCGTGCGTGCATGTATGTCTATGGGCTCCAAAGGTGTATCATTGTGTTTCCTTTTCCCTTTTTCCTTTTTCCTTTTCTTTTTCCTTTTCCTTTTCTATTTTTTTTCTTTTTCTTCTTTGTTATTTTTTGTGGCTTTGTTATGCTTGCATACATGATTTTAAGAGGGGCATCATCTTGTAAATTTATAATCCGTGGCAGAGTTGTGCGCAGGTAAAAAAAAAAAAAAGGGGGTGGGGTGGGGAAAGGGCTTTGTGTGTGTGTTGTTTTGTTTTTGGAAGGAATTGAGGAATTTGATTCAATTATTTCCTTCACCCAATATACACATTGGCAGCGAGGAAGAAAGACGAATACAGCGTGTGTGCATATATATATATATATCTACACATATATATTTATACGGAGTAATTTTCAAATATGGCAGCCGCGTCGTTTGAGTTTGTGCAGGGAAGTGAGCGTCTGGACTGGGGTGTGCTTGTTGCCATTGATCTGCAGCGACTCATGAAGGACACAAATGTGGACACCCTGCAGCGTATTGTGGAAAATATTGCCTTTGCTCGTGTCACACGTGATGAGGCGGCGATGTTCACCCCGGAGCACATTCTACACCTCTTCACGCTGTGTCAGTTAGTGATTCAGTACCTGGTGTGCTCGCAGGAGTGCCTTGCGAAGATCAACGTAAAGCTGACAGAGCGTCTGCAGGAGATGCAGCACCGTCGTGACTCGGCAGAAGCGGAGCGGGAGAAGCTGCACGAAGAGAATGTCATATTACGCAAAGAGGTGAAGGCGCAGAGACGTACACTCCTGGCGTATGAGTACGCCAATAGTGCGGGTGGTGGTGTTGGAATGACAGCACTGGGAGGAGGGCAGCCGTATATTTGCCCGCAGTGCGGTGACGCTTACACAAAGAAAGAATCTCTGCAATCGCATGTACGCAAGCGACATGCGGGGGTGAAGAATGGAGCATCACCCCAATCACAGCCACAGGAAGTTGAGAAGACCGCGTACGAGGCACAGCTGTTGCAGCAGCGACAACTCCAAGAGAAGGTGGAGAAGCTGGAGAAGCTCCTGGAGAAGGAAAAGGAGCGTAACGACCGGATTCAGCATGACAGCATGATGATGCTGATGCAGGCTGCCATGGGAGCGGCACAGACAAAGACGCCCTCTCCATCGCCAATGCCACCACCAGCAACAGCGGCAGAGGCAGCAGCACCAACAACAACACAAAAACAACAAACTCAAGAAACGTTGGAGCGGTCGCCGCAGTTTCATGCACCGCCACTGCAGGTGCCACCTGAAGTCTCCGCCATTCCCGTGATGCCAGACATTGCCGCTCTTCAGCGGTACAACATGACGCGGCAGCAAGAGGCAGCGAACAACGCCCTGCTGCGGAAGGTATCTGAATTGGAAGCACTTATATGCGATCTGAAGAGTACAAAAAAAGACACAGCGGAGGCACGCGCCGCTCCCGTCCCCGAACCCGCCCGCACAACCGTTACGGCCACACCACCGATGGAAGTGTCGTCTCGGCCGCCACCACCACCACCACCATCGACACAAACAAAACAAAAAGAACAACAACAGTCATCGACATTGAAATCGCACAATCCATCATGGCTCACCGCGCCGGGTATATCCCCGGCAGGTAAAACGCACACTGCAGAGCGAGGGGAGGAGAAAACTGCAGCCGAGAAGGCAGCGGCCTCAAATGTGACGCCGGCCGCGGTGCCCACTGCGGCAAAGGTTTCCGTTCCATCATCACCATCATCGTCAACATCAGTGAAGCAGCGTCAGGCTTCGCCGCCCCCAGCCTCCACATCCGCCGTCAGCGCTCCTGTGATTGCACCGCCACCATTAGAGCAAAAACAGCAACAGCAACAGAAGACGGAAAAAGAGGACATTAAATCGACGCAATTGACGCCACTGCCTGTTCCAGTTCCGGTCCCTCTGCCTGTTTTAGAGGCGGCTCCAAAGCCTTCGGGAATGATCCATGCAACTCCTCCTTACGTCAGTAACTCTTACACCTCCCTTAGCACGAACGCACAGTTGAATACACCTTCGGTTACTTCACCCTCGCTGAACTTGGGTTCTGTGTCTGCAGACAAGGCAACTACAATGACGAGTGAAATGTTACTGGCAAAGTACGGGCCTCCCGGTCCGGCTATCGTTCCGCAAAATCTCGCCAAGCAATCACTGCCTTCTCCCACAAACCCTGTAACAAAATCCGCACCAACGCCTTCTCCTGCCTGGCTACATTCAAGCACCCATCCGGATGATGGCAAAAAGGAGGCTTTGATAAGCGTGGCAAATGCACCGTCTTCAAGTGTCAACGCAGCGTCAACCGCACTGGGAACAAGTGTCTCCACGCCCTCGATTGTGTCACGGTCGGAATCAGGACATCCGCCACCGTTATCGTCATATCCGAGCGTTCCAGTGGCAGTTCCGGTGGATTTTCCGCGCGCATCACAACAACAAGCGCCACCTCCCACAACAATAGGCCTAGAACCCCGGCTCAGTGGACCTCCATATACGCCCCCTCCACCGGCTGTGCCTGTGGGCCCATCATACAGCAGTGGGGTGGTGTTGGCTGCGACGGGAGTTCCCCACGCGGCATTACCGGTTGTGAAGCGGGTGAAACCGAGCAGAAGTAGCGGGAGCTCCTCTTTTGAGGGAAGTACATCTTCAAGTAGCTCGTAAGAAACGTAAACGGTCAAAAGGCGGGAAATTGTTAGAGAAGAATAGACTAGAGAGGGGAGAGGCCTCCCTCTTTTCATCTTGAGGTGATGAGAGTTCCTCAAGATCAACCGAAAAATCAAGGGCTTCTTTGAGTTTTTTTTTTTTTTTTTGTGTTCTTGTGTACGTGAATATTATAATTAAAGCTTCTTTTTTTTTTTTTTTTCTCTCTCTCTCTCTCTCTTTTTCTTTCCGGTTTTATTGGGAGTAAAACTGAAGTGGCCTTAATGCTGCACCGTATACCGGCGTATCGTGACCCTCTCTTGCAGGTCCTTAGCGATGCGTTAAAGCGTGCGCTCGATGTCTATCGTCGTGAGATGTCAGCTGGTATGTCAATTGAGTTTGAGTGCCGCCTCGGGACCTTTTCAGCGTCGAAGCACACCTACGCACACCCGTTTCCAACCCATACTCTCACTCCAGCCCTGTTAGATGGACAATCGACTACACCTTTCTTTTTCTTTGCTGGGGTAGCGCAACCAAGTTTCATTGCGGCGCATGAAACATTGAAAACTATAGGTGCCTCCATGCCACCGCGCTCTTCAACGGTATTGTCGGTACGAACGGTGGGAAAGGATCGTCTAGAGTACGCCATGAATGAAGCATGTAACAGTGGTCATCTATTGGCGATAGTAGAGAAGGAGCGAATTTTTTCGCATGATGTGCGTTGCCCGGGGTGGGGTGCAGACTTTCGTGTGTCGGTCTCACGGGAGAAAACAATTGATAGGGAGACGTGGAACCAGGCAAAATGGGAGTCGTTTACACCAAACATCTCTCGACTGCGGCAGCGCAAGTCTGTTCGGATCGATCCGTTCCTCTCGGTGGACATGGCAATGGTTCGCTCCTTCACAGATCACTCTCGCTTTGTACGGCCGTGGTCGCCTGAGCTACAGGTGCCGTTTATTAGTGCCCCGCACATTTCTTTTGATGTTGAGTTGGAAGTTAACATGCCAGCGTTGCATCGTGTAGTGAAGCAAACACGTCTGGTGGAGTCCATCTTGGGAAGGACGGCGCTGGATCTCCTTACAGTGTTGCAGTTTCTGGCCGCGAAGAGGGAGTGAAGAAAAGGACTGAGGTTCTCGTACCACCGTACCAGGAGAAAGAGAGGGAGCTGAGAAGAATAAATAATTAAATAAATAAAAAGTCTGATAGGGCGGTGTTGAGGGTCATTAAAGAGCGACAGGCAAAACGTACGCTTAAAATCCAAAAACGAATCCGGCAGTGGACGGAAATGTGCGTCGCAACGATACTGTGTGTTTGTGTCTTAGTAGTGCAAAGCTCACATGGAGGGGAGGGGAGGGGGGGGGGGGGCAATGAAGACGTGTCGTGTCTCCATTGCACGTGCCACGATAGCTCACTTCCCTTTTTTTCACATTTCTGTTGCTGTTCTATTATTATTATTTTGGGAAGAAAAGGAGTTTTTATTTTGGATTCAACCGAGTTGATACCATCCTTTATTGAAACATCAACTCCCATTCTCTTTTTCCCTTCGTTTATTCAGCATTTAAGCATGCTCTGGCGTCTCTTCCTGGGTAGTGTTGTTGGCGGTGTCGTCTCAGCATGTCGCTCAAATATAAGAACGACCCTCGCGGCAACCGCACCGACGCTGGAACTTATTCTGGACCCAAGCAAGGACGTTGTTCCTGTGCGTTGTGTAATTGTCGGTGGTGGATACACGGGGTCAAAGCTGGCGTACATGTTTGACAGCATGTTTGATGTCACACTTATTGACGAAAAGAATTACTTTGAGCTCACAAATGACATCATTCCCATCGTGGCAAATCCGTGGAGTGAACTGAATGAGGAGGCATGCCGCCGGCTTTTTATCCTTCATCGCTATTACTTAAAAAGAAGTAACGTTTTAACGGGCACGGTGGACGGCGTTGATGAAGAGGCGGTCACGTTACGCGACGGTCGTCGTGTGTCATACGACCTTCTTTTTATCGCCCCGGGAGAGCGCAAGCCATTTCCCTTTGCGACAAAGCAGCGCACCATCGCCGGTCGCGTGCAAGAGCTGAGGCACTTTAATCAGTTTCTCGGCACCTGCAAGAAGGTGGCGGTACTTGGCGGAGGGCCTGTTGGTACGTCGCTGGCGATGGATCTGGCGCGTAATAGGCCCGAGATGCAGGTGCATTTGTACCACTCCAAGTCGGAACTTATCCCCGCCCTACCAACCACGAGCCGTAAGTACGCAGTTAACGCCCTGCAGAAATGCAAGAATCTTTCATTACACCTCTGTACGCGTGTGACAGATGTCGATGGATGCGATTCAAACGGCAAGCGTATTGATTTAAATTCCTCTTCATTGTTGACGCGGTTGTTAGGGTTTGGTAGGCCCCCGGCGGAACCGGCACGGTTTATGGTTCGGTACGACAAATTACACTTTGAACCGGCTCCGCAGCAGTCCATCGTGAGTCAGGCGTATTTTGGACGCCGTGAACCGCACTTGACCGGTGACAAGGTAGAATCCTCTGGCGAAGAGGAATTTGATTATGTTTTTTCAACCATTGGCGATGTACCACGATGCATTCAGGCAGGAAAAGGGAAGTGCAACATTCTCCAGGAGCATGAGGCACCCGATGGTCACTATCGTGTCAGTACGTTGATGCAATTGTACAAGCGTCCAAATATATGGGCCCCTGGGCGTTGCAACAATCTTCCGTGGGTGCGGAGCTATGGATCGAGCGATGTGCAAGTACGCACAATATTTCGCGGACTGAATTCGGTAGTGTACAACCCGACGGAACGTTTTTTGAGCTCACGTGATGGTGTTCAACCGCAGCGCATGGCCATTCCGCGGTTGTTAGTACGTTTAGGGAATAACGATGCAGTTGGTGCAACTCCGTGGTCAGGAGGCATGGTAGGTCTCTCGGCGTTTCATGAGTTTATGCAGGACCGCAATCATCTCGTGAAGGAGTTTCAACAGCCAATTTTCTACAAGCAGCAAGACCCGGCAAAGGTCAAGCAACGCATCTCCAATTGGGCCTCCCACGAGACGACAGATATTGTCGATTTCTCCCACTTGTAGGAGGTTGTCAACTGATGTGTATTGTTGTTGTTTTTTTGTTTTGTTTTGTTCTTCTTTTGATTAATTGTCAATATGTTATTTTGTTGTTGTTGTTGTTGTTGTTGTTCACATTGGCACAACGAAAGCCTTCCCCGTTAGTTTACGCAATCCTCTTTCCTTCTTGCTGACTGTGGGTTGCTTTCCGTGGATCGTTGCCTAAGCAAAGTTCCGCTCGCACAAGCACACTTTCCCCCTCCTCCTCCTGTTTACTTAGTTTTGAAATATGTTGCCATGGTTTTCCCTCTTTTCCTTCCTTTTCTTTCCTTTTTTTCTTTTTTCTTTTTAATGGCGGGTGGGTGTAGGGTTGTTGTTTTGGTTGTTATTCTGTGGAAATGAGAAGCCATGCCTCACCTTTTTAGCGACTCGTCTGTGTCCTTTTTGAAGCGATTTCAGTTTATTCAACGCGGTAGGCATGGCGAGGTTGCACGGCAGGGAACCATTCCGACAGACACGCTTTCACTCATGGATGTGTTGCTTCATACCAACAGTACATTTACTTTGTTTTTTCACTTGAAACATGCTTTGGATGCCGCACAGAGGAGCGAGAATGCGAACGATGGCACTTCTTCTGCACGACGGACCGATGATTTGGCAAACGCCTTGCATCACCTGCAAGAGGACATGACGGAATTTGATGGTGGGCTCTCAGAGGAGATTTTAGGGCCGATTCTGCTTTCATTTCTTAACTTTTATTTGGATCGGAGCATTGATATGATGTCCATCCGCCGAACGTTATGTACACTCTTTGAGACCACACCATACCTCCGCGAGATGCATGATGACGAAGATAAAAATCAACCATTGAGCTCCAATATTGCCCTGTTGTTGTTAAATCTCTCGAGGGCACTTCTTCACTGTCAGGCCAAAGGGGAAATGTCTTTGAGGAAGAAAAACAGGGTGGTGCAACAGCATGCGTTACCCCTCCTACCCTGGTTACGATCTTGCGCAAGGAATGCAACGCAGAAACCCACCTGGTATTGGTGGGCATCACAGAACTCACGCACACTGTCTATTCTCACGAATGGTGCATTTGTTTATCGTAGCACCACGTGTGAAGCTGCGGCGGATGAGGATGCCATTTTAGTTTCGTATGCTGCACAGCCGGCTCCGAGGAAGCGAGGGCGCGGGGTAGACGATGATGATGTGATGGAGGCGGCGGCGGAAAAAAATAGAAGAATATCTTCAACGTCCCAAACTCACCTGAATGGCGGTAAGTTCTCGCTTGGTGTTGTTCCCATTCCGTATGCGGTACAAGGGATTATTTTGGAATATCTTTCTCCCCGTGCACTTTCTACTGCCTGTTTAGTCTGCAAGGCTTGGTGGAGTCTTATTGATCAATCCCTTACCTTGCGTTTTTATCTGTTTTCCAGTCAGGCTGTGACTCGGGTATTTATTCAATTTTTTGAGGATGATTGGGGAAAGGCGTGGGTGCGGCTGAATGAACTCACCACCTTTCGGCGACTTAGCCTGCAGCGTATGTACATATGCCTCGTTCAGAATCATCTGCATCGACAACGTGCATCTGCTGCGTCAATTGGAGACTTTGTTTTACGTCTTTACAATGAGTTTGGGAAGAAAAGCCCCCAGTGGGAAATGTTAGAAGGGCTTTGGAATGCCATGGAGGTGGAAATGAAAATAATGCCGTTTCTGGCCCTTCGCGATGTGACATTTTCCTCACCTCTTCAAAACGGAACAACTCCGTGTTGCTGCAACGATATTTCACGTGCTGCTGCTTTGGTACAGATGAAACAGGTATTGAGATTGTTGCAAAGCTCCGATTACCCTTTTTTTTCATTATTTAATGAACTGTTAAGGCGGTGGTCTGTGCTTCTTAGTGCGGTGCATTCACCTCCAGCTGTGATGTCGTAATGCTCCTGGTGATATGTACCCCACGATCCTT